TTGTTCCCACTATACATGGGAGCAACTGATAGACTGCTAAATGCTGATCATGAAGAAGTTTATTTCAAGGGAATGCCAATGTACAATGGAATGGTATGATTAGAACTGCCTTTCTTACAATACTTGAACCTCTTTATATGCTTAAATGTAACTGTCAATACATTCGAACGTGGGTTCTAGATGTGCACTGTAAAGTTTCATGTTCGTCAATTCAATTACTCTATGATGAAAGCAAGAATTTTTCTATGATCTGACATAAGTATCTCCAGCACCTTAGAAGACATGGAGACATACTCAAAAGAACTGTTGGAGGCCATTTCATTGTTCAAGGCAGGTCTGATGATACCATGAACCTCGGCGGCATCAAGGTAACGTGTTCAACTGCCCCCTTTGTTTGATGAGTGATGCTGAAGCATTCTTAAGTCATATATGAATGAGCAAGTATGAGCCTGGGTTGCTTGATCATCTATTTATCTATAAATTGATATGCTTAAACTTTTTCAATCTTTCTTGATTTTCAGACAAGTTCGATTGAAATTGAGCGTGTCTGTGACCGGGCTGATGAAAACGTCTTGGAGACGGCTGCAGTCAGTGTTGCACCTGTGAATGGGGGTCCTGAACAGTTGGTTATATATGTGGTATTAAAGAAGGAATTTGACTCCAAAGCAGACCAGCTAAAGGCGAAATTCTCAAAAGCAATTCAAAGCAACCTCAACCCTTTGTTTAAGGTTTGACTTTTAACATTCTCTATCTATTCAACATGGAAACATAAGCTCAAAATTCACAATTTAAAGGAGTAAAACGGTGTGATGTCCCAGTTGGCTTGTGTTTTGTTTCAAAAGACAACCTGGTTCATGTCATTTTTAGTTGTTTATGTGATTTCTCCAACTGTTGTGATGGATTTAAACAGGTGAACCATGTCAAGATTGTTGCAGAGTTTCCTCGAACAGCCTCCAACAAGTTATTAAGAAGAGTTTTGAGAGACCAAATGAAGCAGGAGTTTTCTGTTCGGAGCAGAATGTAGTGGCAGCATATTCATTACATTTTGGTTAAGGCCCGAATAAATAAATGTGTATGTATATGTTAGATATATCTATGTATCACATTCATATTCACTGATGATATCATCAACAATGATGATATGTTATGTATGGTGGTACCCTAAATTAATTAATCTTCATATGTTAGCAAACTCAATCGTACACTTCCCATCACGAGCCTCTGCCTTTCCCATGAAATGCTTGACATAATCAAAATACTAGATTGCTTTCTTCCCACGCTTGCAGGTACTCCAACAGCGGACTGATCATGTCAGACGGCCATCCCTTCTAGCCCAGCTTTGTCACTGCACATAGCCATGTTAGTGGTTCACCTACCGAAAGTAGGATAACTTTTTTTTGTGTGATTATCACACTGTCAAGTAATATTACTAATCCGGCCGATGTTTATATATTACAGTAATTCGCCAAAAGTTATCATGCACTTCTCAAAGTGCAATTTCCCTCTTGTGAGTATGTAATGACTTTGTTGGAGTATCAAACAACTCCCAAATATACTAAAATTAATTTATCTGAAAGTAAATATACTTTTACACAATGTGATAATCACATTATTAATCACATCTCATTTTCACATGAGCCACTCCTATGCGGTACAAACATTTTTATTTCTAAGACCTTGATCACTAAGCTTATTCACACAACATGTGATAATCACATGTAAATATACTAAAATTAATTTATCTGAAAGTAAATATACTTTTACACAATGTGATAATCACATTATTAATCACATCTCATTTTCACATGAGCCACTCCTATGCGGTACAAACATTTTTATTTCTAAGACCTTGATCACTAAGCTTATTCACACAACATAGCATTCCCATTATCCCATATAGTATATAAAGTAAAACTTCAAATTTTGGCCAACTCAATCGTACTCTTCCCATCATGAGCCTTGCGGAAGAAATGCTTGACATAATCAGAATACAGAACTTGCTTATACACTGCTTTCTCCCCACTTGCAAGCACTTCCGGCAGCGGAGAGATCAACTCCGACGGCCTCGGGTTGACAAATATGGGGACTGAAATCCTGTTCTTACTTCCATTGGCAGCCACTCGATGCTCGATGCTCTTGTATCGTCCGTTGCTCATGATTTGAAGTGCATCACCAATGTTGATCACCAACGAACCCTTCACCGGAGGGACATGAATCCAACTCTTTTTGTCGGTGCCGCCTCGAACGTAAAGCCCGCTACCTCGAACGTAAAGCCCGCCAATCTGGTCTTGAAGGAGGACGGGGAGTGTTTGGGCAAATGGGGTAGTAGTTGAGGTTAATCCGCATGGATCCCATTAGAAGACCTTCTTTTTCTTGGTCTATTTCTTTCACATTTAGTCTCTTCATTAGCATCTCTAGGAGTCGTTTTATGAGAATTTCGGATTTCTTCATGTATTCAAGCACTTCATCCCTGCAAACATATATATACATGCATATAATTATTAGTCAATACAAATTAATGTGCAATATTAATGTGCTACAAATAGTTTTTATAATATTATGTATATACAGAGTAGACATTAATAGTAAGTGAAGCTTACTTGCAGGCAGGAGGCCAAAGTGCAGAGGCCTCATCCTCAGAAACATAGAAGAGACTAAGGTAATCTTTCCACTCCAAAGCCTTCTCTGCTTGAGGGCTAAAGCTCGTTCCAAACCGGACATTGTTCGAACGCGAATGCGCTTTCGAATTCTTACTCTTCTCCTCAGCTGGCAACTCAAAGAAGCGATGAGTTGCCTCCTTCACATTCTCAAGCACTTCAATGGGCACCCCATGGTTGACAAGTTGAAAAAACCCCCACCTCTCTGCTGCATTGCAAATAGCTTCTGCAACTTTCGGGTCGTCCCAGTTTGACATGTCGATGATGGGAACTGACTCTTCGGAGTTTTTGATCCCAAAACTCGCAGTGCTAATTCTCTCTTCAATGGGCTGGATATATTGCTTTGGAAGGCTTTTGAGACCCATTTCTGAAAGACCCTTAACTCCATTGCCTTTGTTTATAACAAAGTTGGTGATACCTGAAGGGCTGGTCATGGTTGGAGCCATTTTTTCTCTGGTATGATTTTGGGATTGACCTCTAAATAGTGTAATGGAGGTTGAGGAAAAGGTTGAAGAAGATTCTGTGATCTAGTAAAGTGGCA